GAATCGTTTGGAGGATTTGGTCGTCGTAACAGATAATGCTTCTTGTCACGCTCGTTTGCAAAGGGTGTTTGATAATTCACCAGCTCAGTTGTTACGTTTGGGACCTTAAAGTCCAATGTTGAACCCGGTAGAAACGATCTGGTCCAAAATTAAAAGTAACGTTAAAAATGCAATTCGCATTCCACCTGTATTAGGTGACGGGATTGCGGAACAGCGCATGCAGTACTTAGAACGAATTGTAATTGAGGCGAAAAATACTATAATGGGAGGAGATTGTGCACGTGCGGTACAACACACAACCACGCACTATGCAACTATTTTAAATATGGAAGACGTACAAGTTGGTGTTTAAATGATCAATGAAGTGATTTTTAATTATATAATTTTTAATTATAATTTTTAATTGAATTATAAATTTTTCCCTAAAATGTTTTTAGTGTTTATTATGTTAAATTCATTTGCCCAAAAATTATAAATTTTTCCCTAAATTTTTCCCTAAAAAATTAAATTTACGCTACAAATCTTGCGTCATTTTTAAGTGCGTCATTTTATACGCTCCATTTTTTTACGCGCCATTTTTTTTAAGCGCCATTTTACACTTACTCCTTTAAAGCAATATCTAAATTAAAATTTTCGTGTTCTCAATTACATCTTTCTATTTCTTAATTACAACTTACATTTTCTCAATTACATGTTACAATTCTTAATTACAATTTTCGTTTTCTAAATTACATCTTATGTTTCTTAATTACAACTTACGTTTTCTCAATTACACCTTACGTTTCTTAATTACAACTTTTGTTTTCTCAATTACATCTTACGATTCTTAATTACAATTTTTGTTTTCTCAATTACATCTTGAAAAGGTGTAGTCACACCTCAACACTCAACATCAACTATCCACGTTCATATGAAAAGTAAGCACAAAGACATCAACAAACAGTTTGAGAAGAAAAAAAAGAGAGTTGCTGTAGAAGAGCTTGCTAGTACAGCAAAAAAATCCAAAAGTGGTATTAGTCTTTCCATTCGATCATCAATTACAAAATTCATAGTACAAAAGAAAGTTTATGCGGACAATGATACATAACAACTCAAATTTGACTACAACCTGACAGCTATGCTTTGCCGAACCAACACTATAGTCTCCAATACAGGTTTTGTTGATTTCATTAAGTCAATTAACTCTAGGCTTACTGTTAAAGACGCAATCAACTATTACATAAGGCATCTTCCAGAACTTTATGAAAAAGTTAAGAAGTGTGTCCTTGCTGACTTTGCTAAAGATGTTCCAACACTAACTGAGGTAGTATTTACTACTGATATGTGGACAAGCAGAAACAATGATGCTTTCAGTGCATTAACTTGCCATTACATTTCACAAGAATTTGAACTTAAATCATTCCTTGTTGGAATGGAACCATTCAGGGATGAAAGACACACTGGGAAAGCAATTGCTTTTCAGTTAGCTTCCAAAGGAACAAACACACAGGTAATTGCTTAAAATTTCAACTTTAACATTTTGTTTCACTTGGTATTTACTTTTCTATAAACCTAATGCTTTTGTTTAAGTTCGCATTTTATATTTTGTTACCATACAACTTTAAAAAAAAGAAAATTTTATTTGTTTCAATTTTTTGTTAAATTTTTTATAAACCAATATCTTATCGTTTAAGTTTGTTTTTTTTTTTTTTATGGCCATTTAAACTAAACATTTTTGTTATCATTTTGTTTAGTTATATAATAATAATAATAACAAGTAATGATATAACTAATAATTTTTTTTGTTCCTAATTTTTTAGATAATGCGTCAACAGAGGTGCAAATGTCAACTTGGCAGTTGAAAAAAGCTTGAAAAAAGTTGGAACAGTCAGTTTTTGAGTGTGAAGTCAGTCCTTGACATCCAGGAGTGTCTTGAAATGTTAGTCCAAAAAAAACACCCCTTTCAGGACAAAGCTCTTATATTCAGTTTCGGATCTTAAAGAAGATTTTGCCTGTTCCTCAAAAATTCTATAATTTTTCTGTCAAAATTTCTGCTGACAAAACACCACAGTCCATCAAATGATCCCAGGCATCTTCAATTTGCATAGATAATTTTTGACTTTATGTTTTAAATCATTTTAACTGGTTTGTTTTATATTTTTATGAACCTAAAATTAGATGTGTTTTATATTTAAAACTAAATTAACCTTTTATCCACATTTTGTATTTTCCTGAAATTGGCTACATATGTGTTTACTTATTTACTATTTTTTGTGCGTATAGCTATGTCAATATCAGACTTGCATACCAAAAGAATGAAGAATATCTGAAACAGTTAGCAACAGCTATGGATATGCAATTTAAAAAAATACTATGAAGAAGATGGCATGGAGAACACCACCTATGCAATTGCTCACATGCTAAACCCAGACTTTCATGGCAAACTCCTTAAAACAAAGCATGACAGATATGAACTGACCAAAGTATGCACCCAAATCGTACATCATCTAGACTCATCTGCTAAAGAAATTGAATCACCCTTACTTCTGGAGCGAATACCTACTAATATTCTAGATTCTGACGACGTTGACTTCTCCTACCAAACTCTGGATACACTAACTCAAGATGATCTTTGTTTTAAAACAAAATCCAAAAACACTTTGGGTATTCAATCAGAACTAGAAAAATATCTTTTATCACCAACAGTAGCTAAAGAAACTGATGTTTTACAGTGGTGGAAGAGCATGGCACCACAATATCCAAAGCTGTCATCCGTTGTCAGGAAAATCTATCCCATTCCAGGTTCATCAACTTCTTCAGAAAGAGTCTTTTCTGCAGCTGGGCAAGTTTTCACTTGGACCCAAACAAATCTTAACAGCAACAATGTAGAAAAGCTTATCTACATTACACAGAACTATCCTAAAGTGCAAAAAAAATTAAAGTTATAAGATAAAGTTTAAGGCTTTAACTCTTATAACTTTATTATCAAAGTTATAAGATAAAGTTTAAGGCTTTAACTATTTTCTGCAATTTGCTAAAATCAATTGTTACTTGCATTCTTTTATTATTATTAAATGCATATTAATTTGGCTAATGTATAATAAGTTACTCAGTAGTTAGAGTTCTGGCTAAGATCCCAGAGGTCCGAGGTTCAAGGCCGGCTCTAATAAAAAACAACACTGATAAAAAAGGAAGCATGAACTTCCTAGTTATATGCTCTTCTGCGGTGCTCTGTGATGTGATGCAAGCACTGTGGTTAAACCGTAAGGACTTCTGGACTTACCTTAATAACAACAACAAAAAATAAAGTTACTTAAAATTCAACATAAAAGTCCAAATTTCTTGTGATAAAACCATAAGGACTTCTAAACTTATTTTAATAACAACAAAAAAATTAATAAAAAGTTTGTTATAATTCAATATAGAAGTCTAAATTTCTTTTTCAATTAAATATGTTTTTAAAATCGAAATTCGGCTCTCAGTTAAATTCAGTTAAAAGGTCCAAATTCGTCTTTCAGTTAAATTCGGGGTACAAATATAGCCTAAATTCGTCTTTCAGTTATATTCTGTGTATATATATATATATAAATATATATATATATATATATATATATATATATATATATATATTATATATATATATATATATATATATATATATATATATATATATATATGGTCTAAATTTGTCTTTCAGTTAAATTCGGTTCTTGAAAAGTTGACTTCGTCAGTCCCTAGTAGCCATGTTGTCGCACTCAACAACATGCAATTGCATCTGCTTCCTGACCAAGCATGAATATTGGATGCAATAGGGAGGGATTTTTCTAAATATTCTTGCTTATGCTGACAATTTTAAAATTGAGTGTAGCAGGTTAGAAATTGGAATTTGGCAACAGCTTTAAATACCTTGGTCATATTGGGGGAAATGATCTATCAAATGAAAAAGCTATATACTTGAACAAATATGTTGATAATGTGCTTTTATAGGTGCTAAAGCCTAATTAAAGTAAAAATTTTCAATCTAATTAAAGTAAAATATTTCAATCATATAGCATACACTTATGTTTCCCTGTGGAACAGTTTTAACATTAGAATATTTTCTATGATAGTGATATAATAAATGCACAAAAATGTTATTTGAATAAGAAAATTATTGAAGTCTCATATAGATGTTTTTAGAATTAGGGCTCCCAACTTTTGACAATATTTTTTTCTACTTTTGGACTAATTAAAGAAAACAGCTTTAAAAATGTGCAAAACATTAAGACTGTCCAAGTGATGGGTTGTTATTGACGGCTGTACCTCTTTTTTATTACATACTTTTTATTTACACTTTATTTAATTGTATCTATAGATCTTGTACCTATTTATATGTAGATGATGTTTGACCTAAATACATTAATAATAAATAATAATAATAATTATAATAGTAATAATAATAATAATAATAATAATAATAACAATAATATATATATATATATATATATATATATATATATATATATATATATTATTATTATTATTATTATTATTATTATTATTATAATAATATATATTATTATTATATATATATTATTATTATTATTATAATTATTATTATTATTATTATATATATATATATATAATAATAATAATAATATATATATAATAATAATATATATATATAATATATATATAATATATATATATATATATATATATATATATAATATATATATATATATATATATATATATATATATATATATATATATATATATATATATATATATATAATATGCCAACAAAGAATATTTAAAAAAATAAAAAATGAAATGTTAAGAGATGATTTAATTCATATAAATTTTATTAAAAACACTTCATACACATGCATGAGCACAACATGTGTACGTATGATAGTGTTATTATACTTGTATCAAAAAAATTCTTCTCAATGTATCTTGACAAATATAGAAAAATTATTATTTCGGCTATTATACATTTTAATGATATTGGTAAAAAAACGCAAACACATTACATACCTAAAATTTTTGCAAGTGCTACACAAGAATACTTTAGCAGCCATGTTTATATAAATTAAACCACGAGATTTTTACGGAAGTCTGATTTTTAAAATCTCATGAAAATGTTTTCGGTTAGCGGAAGGTTAGCAGGATTCATTTTCGAACCCCTAAAAATAGTTGATCAATACTGGTATAATTAGTATAATTAAGTATAATTGTACACTAATTCTTTGCTTTCACCATCGTATTTTTTAAATAAGTTTATTTTTTGGCTCAGGATTATTCTTTAAAATTAAATTAGTTCAAAATTATATCAAAATTTAATTTAAAATTGTATAAAATTTGAAAATAAAAATTAGATATTTTAATTTGTAATAAATTATATTTATATGTAAAATTAACTTAATTTTACAATATTTGAAGCAAAATTAAAATATCTAATTTTTATTTTCAATTTTTATACAATTTTAAATTAAATTTTGATACAATTTTAAACTAATTTAATTATATTCAAGTTAAAGCAAGATGAACTAATGCATAAAAATTCAACAACAACAAAAAAAAAAAAAAAAAAAAGATTTTTTTAATTTAATTTAATTTTATATTTTTAATTAATTTTTAATTTTTTCATTTAATTTGTAAAAAAATGCTATTTCATATTGTTTATAATAATGATCAAGTCATATGCATTGTTCTCGCCATTTGATTGCGGTACTAGGTTTCAATAAAATCAATTATGATTTGAAGCATAAAAATTGGGGTGTTCGATGCAAAATATTTATTAATAATGTTATTAGTGAATGTAGGGTAATATTCCGCTAATTTTTCAAAAATTAATAAACACCTTTGAGTAGTAAGCACCTGAAAGTATTTATGATAAACTTATTACTAAAAGTAGTTTATGATAAACTTATTACTGGTTTTTTTTCATAGACTCATTGAGGAAAAGTTAAAAAACATTTATAGTGTAAAAAAAAAATTCTTTTCTTTAAAAAAAAATTTTCAGATTTTCAAAAAGATGTTTTTTGAAGGTTCAAAAAGATGATAAACACTTTTATTTAACCTTTATTTTATTTGATTTTATTTTATTTGAGAGATCATAAACACTTGTGTTTAATCCAAGAGGTGACAAAATGCATAACTCTTAAGCCAAACTCTAGGGATGGTTTTTTTGCTTATTTTGATGTAAAAACGCGATTTACTTTTAAGCGTAAATTACTTACACAACTCACATTAAAATGCATAATTTACTCACACTTAAAAGTAATTCTTTTTTTTTTTTTTTTTTTTTTTTTTACTTAGTTATTTTTTATATTTTCTATATTACATAAGTGATATATTTTTACTTAAGTTATATACATAAGTTATATAACATAAAAAACTTAATTACTTGTTTAGTTTTTTAAATGAGTAACTTACTTGAAAAAGTAATTTATTTTTACAAGTAAATATAATTTGCATTAAATGACTATTACTTTTACTTACAAATGTAATTTACTTTAAATGGTAAAATTTACTTTAAAAAGTAATTTTGGTTATAATTATGCAAGAAAATTACATGTAATAAATTTTTTTATTCAATATTATTATTAAATAATATAATAATAATAATGTTAATAATAATGAAAATAATAATAACAACAACAAGGTCTTTTATATAATAATAATATAACAATAATATTTTTATTGGTTTTTATATGTAAAAAAAAATTAATTTTCAGTTAATCTTACGTAAATATAATTCAAATAAAACTACTAATATGGATATAACTCTTTATTTGAAATTAATTTTCATACAATATATATATATATATATATATATATATATATATATATATATATATATATATATATATATATATATATATATATATATATATATATATATATATATAATATATATAAAACCATTGAAAACAAAATAAAAACAAAACAAATCAATGCAATAGTTTCTTTTCATTTAAATACCGAAGCATAGGTTTCCAAAAGAAAGTTGTGAAATAACCTCCGTCATCCTGATTTAGACCGCCGTCCGAAGGTGAGCTGAATAATCCTATTTTCCTTCGTATGTATTTTTTTGATGTTGGTAAAATGCAAGATGAGATTTTTAATTTTATTTCACCGATATAATATTTTTTGTAGGAGCATTCAACTTTGTACACACCTAGGTAAAAATTTATAGGAAGAGGAGGTTTATTTTTTGTTACAAGTATTTTGTAAATTTTTTGAAGATTTTAAGACTGGTGTATAACCTGCTTTTAAGAAAAAAAATTTTAACTTTGGGCTAATTCCTGGAATCCACGGTAAAGATACTATATTATTTGATGCAATTGGTGAATGTTGAGTTTCAACTTTTTATTTTTTATTATGTAAATTTTCATTAGTGTTTTTTATAATAATTCCCAGTCTTGCTTTTTTATAACCATTTTCTACAAAAACATCAACTAGGAATAATAACTCTTGTTCAATATTATTATCAGAGCATAAATATAATGTCCTATGAACAAAACCTTTGAAAACTCAGTTTACAATTTTTGAATCGTGGCATGAGTTAGGTTTGATTTGGACATTAGTCATAGCTACTTTACGGTAAACTTTAAAATTTTATTGTTTTATTGCTAATAATAGTAATGTCAAGAAGTTCAGCGTGTTATTTTCATTTTCGATTTCCATGGTGTACTGAATATTTTTTTGTTGGTTATTAAGTAATATTAAAAATTTGTATCTTCAGTAGAGTTAAAACGAGAATGGGAGTCATCGAGATATCTTTTAAATGACTTTAATTAAATATTATTTGAAATTGCTTGTGTAATAGCATTACTTACGTGAAACTGTAAAAAACACTCCACAACTAATACCATAAGTCCTAAACAAATAGGTCCAGAATCTTTTAGTTCATAAATGTTGTGTTCAAATAAAAAATAACAATGCAAAAGGCATATATTTAAAAGTGCTTTTATTTCATCAAAGGTAAATTTTGATGTAAAACTAGGATCATTTTTCAACCTCTCAATAAGGATAATCGCTTCCTTTACTGGGACTGAATGATATAAATTAGTGATATCATAAGACACTTGGATTTCTCAATATTTCATCTTTCTCAATATTTCATGATTTATTAGCTAAGTTAACAAATTGTTAAAAGTTTTTTAAATGTGTATTGTTCTTATTGAGGATGAGTTGTACCATATCAGTTTTTTTTTTTAAACGTCTTCACTTCCAACAAGGCTGCAAGCAACCACTAATTAGTTTTGGAAGTTACTGGAAGAGAAAAGATGAAGATTGTAAAGCAAGATAACGATTGACAGACGACTTAAAAGATTGCAAATTATAAGAATCAGAAAAGCAAGATGAAGGAAGCGAATTCCAAAGAACTGATGTTCGAGGGAAAAAACTAGACGAATAAGAGTTTTTGGAGCACTTAGAAACAGTCACAGAAAAAGGATGAGACTTAATTGAATGACGAGTAACACAAGAATGGATTTTAGTAGATAGCACAAGAGACGCTAGCTCTTTAGAGCAGTCCCCATTATAGTATTTGTAGCAGGGCTGTGGAGTCGGAGTTGGAGTCGGAGTTGCGGAGTTGCGACAATTTTAGCGGAGTCGGAGTCGGAGTCGCTAAAAAATATCGCGACTCCGACTCCGATAGTAATATTTCTTGGTATTGCACGTGCATGTACAAAACATTCAATTAACCTTATGTTCATACTAAACCTCAAATAACGTTGCATAAATTTGTCAAAAAAAAAATTTTAATTTATTGCGCAATATTTTTTAAAGAATTCAAAGAATTTTTCAAAAATTTTGCTTTGGAGTTGGAGTCGGAGTTGGAGTCGTTACTTTTTTTTTACGACTCCACACCCCTGATTTGTAGAAAAGAGGAAGAGAAGCAACATTACGACGATATGACAAAGGTTAAAGGTTGGCTGCAAGAGCAGGTCCAACTATGTTTACAATGCGTTTTTGCACCTTGTTTAAAAAAGAAAAGTCATCATTAGAAGATCCGCCTCAGATATTGCAACAGTATTCCATACAAGGCTGAATTTGAGATTTATAGAGAATAGAATCCAGAATAAGAAAGTGTCGAGCTCGATAAAGAGATGCAACTTTAGCATATGCTAATTTTGCAACGGATTTGATATATGGTTTCCAAGAAAGATCAGAAGTAAGAGTTTATCCTAGAAGATGGAAGGATAGATGACTCATCGAGTACATTACCGTTCATAAATATAGGAAGGTCTAAATTATTGCGATAACGATTGGCTGAAAAAAGTTGAATTTTATCTGAATTAAAGTTCACCAGCCACTGCGAGCCCCATGCTGTAGCAGAAGTGAGATCCTTTTCAAGCTCAAACGGCCTTTCTAAGCAATCAGAGAGAGTTGGCTTATTATCATGACAAGAATAAATGGTAGTATCATCAACGAACAATGTCACCTTCAATGAGAGAATATCTGGAAGATCGTTAATATAAATTAAAAAGAGTATAGGGCCAAGGATTAAATCTTGAGGAACCCCTGAGGTTACAGAATAAGAAGAAGAGTGCTGTCCATCAAGGACAACTTTTATACTACGATTGGAAAGGAGTTAAAAATTTAAGTTAAGAATTTAGAAATTTTGTATGTAGCCGTTCCAATAGTGCTTACAATAACTCGCATCGGGTAGTTTTTTCAGGTTTGTGAGCTTTTATGATTTCATACAAACGAGGTGGTATAGCATCACTCGGGTAAAGATATTTATATTCTTTAACCGTAAATCGACCTGCTTTATTTAGTTTTCTGAGTGTGTTTTGAACTTTACGAATGATAAGTGGAGCTGGATCATAGTTGAGTCTTTTTGTTTTGCCTCCTAAATGTTCTTATACAGCACTATCAGAATTAAATGTTCTTATACAGCACTATCAGAATTAAATGTTCTTATACAGCACTATCAGAATTAATTCGCACTAATCCAGATCCTTTATCGAACGGATATATCATAATAATATTGTCTTTCTTAATCTCACAAAGAGTTTTACGTTGTACCTTATCTAGATTACTTTTTCTAGGCTTAGCCATTTTTAAAATTCTCAAAACATTCTGTCTTAGTTAAACTCCTTCAGTTTTTTTCTTGTTATACTGAAATTTTAAAGTAGACGATTCAGT